TTCATGTATCATCATCATGTATCATCATCATGTACCATCATCATGTATCATCTTCATCATATAGGATGATTTCATCAGTATACTAAGTCATGTACATTTGACAGGAATATATTCGCAGCGATCGCATGACAGACGCAGGCCCAGTAGACCTGATCGATGATGAAGACAGCGACAAAGAAGACATCTCTCTGCCTGGAGTAACCAAGGGTGACATGAGCTCCAGAACCACCAAACCAGAGATCCGTGTCAAAAGTGTGCAGTTTTCCCCAACAGGTAATAATAATAATAATAACAACAACAACGACGACGACGACGACGACGACGAAGACAGGACGACAACGACAACGACAACACTAAAACACGAAAACGCTACGCCCAAGCTAAAAGGGATTATTATCGCAACTTGAATTTTGAAGTCATGTCAGTGACCTCGACGACACATCGTTCAAGCATTCTGATTGGTTAATTATCACTTTCATGCGCTTTGATTGGCACAGGGGACATCTTACAGTAGCGTGACCACTTTTTTAGTCACGCAATACTAACTCTATTTCGTGACAGGTCGTGCCTGGTCCGCAGCAACGACGGAAGGTCTCATAATCTACTCTCTCGACGCTTCACTGGTCTTCGATCCCTATGACTTGGACACTGATGTCACGCCAGAAACTACACGAAGAGTGTTAGCCAAGGGAGAGTTCAGTAGGGCCCTGGTGCTGAGTTTTAGGCTCAATGAACAAGATCTTGTTAGAGAAGTGGTTGAAAGTATCAAATCTTGTGACAGTACGTATAACGTTTCAATTCCTTTCTATTCATTTTAATCCCCCTCTTCTCTTCCTTCCGCCCTCTTCTCTTCCTTCCGCCCTCTCCTTGCCTTCCCTTGCCCTTCCTTTCACCCTCTGCCTCGGTTTTCCATTTTGTGTCCTCTATTTGTCTTGTATTCCTTACCCTTCCTTCCTGCTGCCCCCTCCCCCCCTTGCCAAAGTTTGGTATTATTTTTGACCCAGTTATCTTTTAATTCAGTTCGTCTGGTCGTACAGTCATTGTCCGAGGTCTACGTTGACAAGATGCTGAAGTTTGTGTCCGGTGAACTCGAATCTTCTCGACATCTCGAGTTTTATTTGTTATGGTGCAAAGAACTATTCACAGTACACGGGCAGGCGATCAAGCAGCGCTCACCTAATGTTATGCATGTACTTAGAACGTTACAGAAAAACATGACGCGGCATCAGGAAGATTTGGGACAACTGTGAGTTGATTAGCCACATGTAGTACAGGCCATGTATGCAATATAAGCCACGTGTGGTACACGCCCATCTATGCAATATCTTCCACGTGTAGTACACTCCCATCTATGCAATATCAGCCACGTGTAGTACACGCCCATCTGTGCAATATCAGCCACGTGTAGTACACTCCCATCTAT